TACACCACGGTTTATGGGCTTCTAGGTATTAGTTGGTGATGGCAGCATCAATGCAAGATAAAATTTTGAAGTGGAAGGGTGTTAGAGGAAGGAGAAAGGAAGAGGACTTAATCCCGCTTACAATCTTTTGGGTTGTTTGGAAGGAGAGGAACAAAAGGGCTTGTGAGGGGATTAATGATGTGAATGGTTTTGACTTACTTAAGAATAGATAGTTTTAAACTCTTGGTTTTTTCCTAATGGATCATTCTCCTCACTCGATGGAGGAGTTAGGGGATCTTATTGATACGTTGTAGACATGTAAATTCCTTGTACATGGGTTTGGCATCCCTTTGGTGCCATTATTAATACTATACCTTTTTTTTGAAATAAATTAATACTATACTTTACACTTTATATTTCAAAGAGATTGACACAGGAATGAGTGTCAAGAGTTCCTTCTTTGATTTTCATGATCTAAACCCATACCAAGCCCATAACTCCTCTGTTGCAGACTCTGAGGTAACCCAAGACGAGTTAGGGAGACTTAAGGCAAAATCTATTGACCTTTTAGATTCCTAAACCAAAGAAGAATATGTTTGGAATTCATACCCTGAAAGGCACATAGGAGACTCGTTAATAATGGTTTTTTCTCTTCTCTGTCAAGTTGTCAATGCTTAAAATCCTGCCCAAGTACCCAGGAACTTGGCGGCCTAATACTGCACTGAATTTATTGTTCATGTTTTTGGTTTTCACAATGTAAAGGGCTCTTGGAGGATATCTTGTCCTATGGCATTGTATTTTCTTTTTTCTTTTCCTTAATAATAATCCCAATCTGCCTAACAATGAAAAAGGCTATTCAGGGAGAAGCCTTACTCTTCCATATCTACTTCCATAGATTTGAAGGCCTCTTCACTTTCGTTACACCTTTTGTAGTATGTTCTCATTGTAAACTTGCTATTCTTAGCTAAGGGCTAAAGAACGAATCATCCTTAGACAGGTACACATGACATTTTCTGAATGCCCTGAAAATAAAATCTCATAACATAAGGTGTTTGGAAGTGGTTGAAGTATGTCAAAAGGAGGATCGTTATTGACAATAGCCCTTGGTAAATTTATCAAAGATGAAATTTGATATTATGGACGACTTGTTATGGTGGAATCACTTTGTTTTTGTAGGTTGGTCTTGTCTATTGCTCTTTCTTTGTGCCTATGGGGGGTTGGTTCACAATCTCTGTAACTTCATTGTACACTAATGGATTTGCTAGTTCCTGTTTGGAAGGTTGCAATTTGAATAACGAGGTTATCAATTCTAAGTGCTCTGCAAGTTCCCAATCATTGAGGTTCTTAGGAGTTGGGTATTCCAAGTACATATTATGTCCACTATATGGGCGGATTATCAGCCTATGTATATTTCTCTTTTTTAAGTATATAATTTCTACGTTTGTGCTTTATTGAGTTTCGCATGAAGTTGCTTTTTTTTATCCAAGGTAGTAGTGTGACACAAGTTAAGGGTTTGAAGCATCAAAGCATCAACTTGGGGTCTAGGCATTTACCTAACTATTTTTTTGAAATAAAATTTTTTAATTAGTATACCAGACAACTGGGTGACCTCCCTAGGTAGGTCAAACCTAATTAGGAATGATTCTCTACAACATCAACGGTTTAGGAACCTTCTCCACCATTAATCACGCTCTGATCACACAATCACATTCATACATTAAACTTGAGATCCTGTCTCCTTAGAGCTCAAGGACAGAGAGGTACGAGTTATAGAACAAATCTTGTTCAAGTAAGGTCATAAGGCATTTAACTAATTATATTGACAATTAACCTATTTTAATTGTCCAACTTGTGGTTTGGTGTTCTTTGGGTGGTCCAACTTTTAGGATAGATGCAGGACTTCTTCTCTTTGATTGTTAATGTAAGATTTTTTCTGGTTGGTTGGCTGATGCCACTCAAATCGGGGTGAGGTTTGTTCTTAGGTTCACTAGCCTGAATCTGACTGTGGTTTAGAGGCTTGAATAAATGTGGTTAGGAAAAAGTTTGAAATATTTGTTTCAATTATTTGTTAGCTTTAAAATTTCACCTAAACATTTGAGATGAGGTACGTTTATGTATGCATATATATTGTATGTACATACACACACACATTCACATATTTGAAACATCTATAAATATATAAATACGTGCATCTACACATACATACATATATACAACATCCAGTGATTGAGGATTTTGGCTGGTGAAGTTCTGTGAAGAAGAGGATTTGAAACCTCAAATACTTCATTACTTCTTCTCTTGTGGTGTTGAAAGGAAGAGGATAAGCTGCTGTTGAAGGGAGCTTTGTTAGACTGTGGCTCTGGTTTTTTTTTTTTTGTTGAAATAAAAGTGACGAAGTATATTAAGTAAATGGCATCAAGGGGGTGCCCCTCGTTTACAAAAGTAATTATATGTCAATGAGTATATCTAAAATTGCTCCCAAGTCTTCTAATGTGTATGAGTTGTGGCCCAAAATAATAGAGGCAAAATAATGAAATAATCTATCTTTGATATTTACAAAGGTTTCTTCAATACTGTCAAAACTCCTATTGTTCGTTTCCTTCCAAATGACCCAAAATACTGATAAGAGAATAAGGCTGGCAGCTTGGTTGTTGGAAGCAAATCACTCCCAAGCCAAAAGTTCATTGATAACTAACCCAGCTATAATCCAATGAACACCCGATAGGCTGTAAAGCAGGGATCAAAGGTTATAGGTGTAGGGGCACCAAAGTAATATGTGGT